CCTGAATAGCTTCTACATCCAAAGTTATTTTAAAGCTTGTAAAATAAATTCATTTTATTCGTTTCCCTCTTTTTTTTCCTGAATTTATAATAATTTAATAAAATTTTTATATGAGTGAATAATTTTTAAGAAATTTATTTAATATAATAAAAAAAGTATATAAAGATAATATCAAAATACTAAAATGTTTAGTACCAAACATAATAGCCAAAACTTCAAAAAATTTAATTTTTCCATCGGTGTAAAAATGGATTTGATAAATATTCATTAAACGAGGAGCAAATTCCAAAGTACCTATGGCTATAATTACATAATGTGCCGTTGAAAAGGACTAATAAAAAAATTATAAGGATAGAGAGATTTTAGATTATCACGGCAACAACTTTTTTAGAAATAATAATGGAGTACATAAAAAAATACGTAGAACTAACCCTTGTGATATTCCCATTTATAGATAAAATGATCATTAAGATAATACTTCCAATAAAAGTATAAACATTTAAAACTGATAGCACCATCCAAACTAGTCTTTTCCAAAAAGGAGGATTTTTCATTGGAGAACTATTTAAATTTTTTCTTTTAGGTTTATTGTCAAGTACTGGAATTACCACAGTAAATTCTTCGAGATTTGCATGAGATGAAGGAGGAGAGGGATTATAACGACGAATCCGAGATCCTGCTCGAGATAGAAACGCACTTAATATATTTAATAAAAACAAGTTTGAAGTTCGATCCAAAAATGAATCTGATGGTCGACTATTGTTTGAAGGTCGGCTACTGTTTGAAGGTCGACTACTGTTTGAAGGTTGGCTACTGTTTGAAGGTCGACTACTGTTTGGAGGACGTTGGTGATTAAGAGTATTTATATTCGGACTCAAATTTGAAGTTAACACATTTTGATGATTTTGAGAAATGCTTTGTAAATTTGAAGGATAATTTGATGGATAATTTGATGGGTATTTTTGTGAATTGGAAGAACCAGTTGGTGAATATGATGGGTCAGAAAAATAAGTAGGCTCAGGCATCGGTAATATAGGACTTGGTAAGTTATCGATGGGACAAACATGTTCGGAGAGATTGGAACCTGGAAAACAACAATTACATTTGTGAAGGTAATAGTGATTAGACCAGTTTGTGGGTTGATGACTTTGCATTTTTAAGCAAAAAATATATAAATATATATAATTTATAATACAAATATTTCAACAAAATGTTTGAAGAAAAAATGTTAACAAATGATCAATGAATGAAAAGTTATTTTATGTTTTGTTTTAAAAAAAATTATTGTAACAAGAGCATTAAAGCATTTCAGAACGATATTTATAAGTTTACAACAAAGCCTCACACTGAATCTTTCTTCAATCCTCATAACCTACTATAGTTCTAACATTGTCACACGACTTCACTAAGACGTTTCGTTTAAAAACAATAATCCAATTATTTGGAGACAATGCAGCTGCACCTTGTAACTTATGGTAAACAGATTTGCATTCCGGATTTTCTCGTCAGGGTTGACAGCAAGAAAGGAAATATGCGAAGCCTAGTGTCCTAAATAAGGAAATACATGAATTATGTAAATATACATGTTAATTGTAAAATTTTATCTCACCGAAAGCAAATATTACTTTATACGTAACTATAAAATGGTAATATAATAGATTTCAAAAAGAGGAACATGAAACATAATAATTTTCTAAATTTTAACCATTCAGATAGTTTTACGTTTGCATTTATTGGTAGATTGACTATAATTAGTTTATTTCACAATCTTCATCCGTAAATATTTTGGGAGTCAAATCACCTAAATTTAGAACGGGCTAAACTATGAACTTAAAGAAACAATAAAGTTTAAAGTTGACAAAATGAAAAAGACAAGATGAGCAGCATTTCTCCTTGTTTCATTTTGCATTCTCTTACCGTATTATCTGAATATCTGAATGAACGCGTTTTCATTACGATGTCAAGTTCTCTAAAATAATAAGAAAATTCGCGCCAATATACATATTAAGCATATTAATCGATTATCCACGTTTCTGCACACGTTTCTTCAATTATTTAATCTTCAATACATGAATGCAATTTTTGTGTTTTCCGAAATCCATGATTATCTTTTTAATTATTATTATTATATCAAGATCACCGGAGGATTAATTAATAATACCCTGACTGTATGTGAATAAGCGGAAACTTCGTTTCCCAACGGATCAGGATATTATTATTACAAATGTCCTGTTTTCTCCCTTTATTCTCGTGCATCAAAAATCTATAGTTTATAAGGCCATTGGTAAACAATTTTTTAAAAAAGGAATTCAATTGGATACATAGATTAAGATATCTTAATGATAACCCAAGAATAGCATTTTTTTTCGCCAGGCGCATTCACTCCGAATTATGTCTCAGCTTTGTTAAAAATATATATTTCACGTAAACATGCTTTTTTATTTTTGCGGCGTAGTAATTTCAAATAAATGTCATAAATGTCACATGAAACGCTATTAAGAGTATAAGTACTACATACGTACCTATCGCTATGTGCGTCGCATGTAGTATATCAAACGTGGCAATAACAGCTGACCAACCAGACAAAACGAAATTCAACTTAAAATTGACCTTTTTCTTGGAATTACTCACTCAATAAAATATATGCAATAATAATATCTAACAATAATAGTTATCTAACAATAATAGTTATCTAACAATAATAGTATGACAATTTCTTTCCATTACAATAAATACTCAAGACTGTAATTAATAAAATTCTTGATACTGATATAGTGAATTTTATCACTTTCATTATAATATGACTCAGTTGTTGAATAAACTTTAATAATCTAATAGATATACTTATTACACAAATCTATAAAAATCTATAAAAATCAGTTAATTTAAACTGTAGTATTTACGTACAAAATACATAAATATTAACGTTAGAGTTCATTCCAATTGTATAATGGTAAATGGTAAATAATTATGTAAATTATGTACTGTACATAGCTATAAATAAAGTTAAAGTGCTTCATGCAATTGTTGTACGAATGAATTTTATTAACAACGAAAATTAACTAAACGAAAATTAGCTATTACACAATATCCATGTACATACGTCTGTACGTAACTGTTTCAAAACAATGATCGATCAAAAAATGCATCCAGGCTCAAATTTGGTTACATTGTTTCTCTTCGGTACATAATCCGTTACACATCACGAATATTTCTATCATCAAAAAGATGTCTCTAATAAGTTATTGATTTAATGTAGGTTTATTCTTTAATCCTTCAAAAAAATAATTTTTAAATATAAAGTTTGTGAATTCTCAATTTGTCTTATCTTTGAGTAATACTAAATCAAATGGTAATCAAATGACAATGTGGTTTTTTACATTCTTTATAATATAGCATAATGTTACCGTATTTGCTTAATATAATTTCTTTATTATTTCTTTATTAATTCCAGTGTTTTTTGCTCCATTATACTGTATCGTATCGGTATGTTTCAAATTTCATCAAATCCTGTTTGTTTAAGAATTAATCCTGTTTGTTTAAGAATTGTTTGCGGTCATAAACTTAGTTTTCATTCTTATCACATGCTTTAACAATATAATGATAAGGTGTAAACCAATTACAAATCAAAATACTTTAATCATTTAGATAGATTATTGTTAATTCAATAATATATTTCGATAGATTCTATTTAACCATAATTTTATACCATTTACTATGTTTCTATGTATTCATTATCGGATTAAAATGAAAATTAATAAATCTATTCCGGAGTCATAATATTTTAAAGATTGAAGTCTTCAAAAACTTATAAAAAACGTATTCGTAGAATTGTTATTCTATGATAATGGTGATAATGAAAGTTTTGGAATTCTAAACGTTTAATATTAATAATGAATGACTCATAATGAATATTTTCATTACTAATCAAACAGTTACCCCCCTTTTCCTAATTTCGAACCACTGTTAATTAAATTTTATCCAAGCATAAATGACCTATTCAAAGCTCTTGTCTATACTGTTAAATTTCCCACCATTGTAACATTATGTTAGTACAAGCAGTGAGTAGAGGCAATGTTGGATTGGATTCTCCGGTATGTTCAATACAGAAATGGCAACTTTTCTTTCATGAACGTTAAGAATGTGATATTAATAATACATAGAATCCAATTACACTATTGATCAATTAGGTAACTGTGCGAACGTAATCGTGCTAAAACCAGGAACGCAATACACATTTCGAGGCGACGTTATGTGCGTACGTACGTACTAGGGTGTCCAGAATTCTGCAATTGCAGAAATTCTGCGAATTCTGCGATGAATTTGCCGAATTTGCTAAATTTGCAGAATCCGCAGTTAGATAGCATATTGATCAACCTTGTACAGAATTAGCTTTTGTTGACCCGAAACAATGCTTGGCAATTGTTTTAATCAAAATTCTCCGCATAGAGCTAACTTAATAATATAAGTAGTGCCGCTCGGAATAGCTGCAAAACTCTGTACAATTATGTGTGGATAAAAATTGTAGAATTCTGGACACCCTTGTACGTACATACGTATGTACATACCTGAGTTTAGCATAATCATTTTCCATTATAATTATATTTACCTCTTATGTAAAATAATGCGGTTATACGTAATTGTACTTACCTCTTATATAAAATAATGCGGATAATAAATCCGCTTAATATCTTTCATACTATATACCGTTATGATCATAGATGTCGTTTACGTACGTACGTATAAACTATGCTTTACAGATTCGATGCCCTTACAATCATTTTTCCGAAAGCGGCTTGCCCGATTTAGAGTAATGATTAACCTGATTTAAAGTTGGCGTTTTTAAGAATTAGGTGTCAAAGGAATGTTAATATAAACCCATATCGATACAGTTATTATAATTCGATTTTAAATTCGGATTAAACCGGTTTTAATACGTACTCAAATTCGGTTTAAATCTCGACAAAAGTACAATTAGATTTTTGACTTTTACGTACTAAAAAACGTATGTATGTATTATCTCAAAAATTGGCTAATTCATCGGTGTGAGTATGCCCCAAAAAAAACTTACCAACTCCTAATCTTAACTCTAAAAATTAACCCTAACGTGAAACAATTAGTTAAAAATTTTATATACAAAACTTAGAAAAACCTAAAAAACACATAATAGGTACAAAACCATCCTAGATGAGTTTTATAATAAATGTTATTTTTTTATATATCATGAAAAGGGTGCCGGAGGTAAGGCAAAATTAATTTTTCATTAGACTTCTTGCAGATCGTCCAATAAAACTAATACACACAACTTGATCAAATTCGGTTTAAATTCGGTCCAGTTTAGCTTACAGTAAATTCCATTCGATTTTGGAATTTACGATTTCGACCTTTTAGGTGTTGTCAAGTGAAAAATTAGAAAGTTATATCGAATTATATTTATTTTATAATGATTCAAAATTTAGCGTACCGTAAAGGTGCTTATTTTTGATTATAATTTTGAAAATTAAAAATATATAATTTTCTACTATTTGACTTCTAAGTAAGTTATTCTTCAGGCAAGACGATACTAATGATGATAAAATCATCAAAATTTTTTGATCATAATTTTGAAATTTAAAAGATATGATTTCATTAAGTAAATCTATTTTTGACTTCTAAATAATGTTATTCTTCAGGTCAAGACGATTCTAATGGTGATAAAATATCAAAATTGTGCAAATAAAACTTTCGCGACTACTCTTCAAAGTACGGATGGGCGATACTTATTTATATGATCTGCACATAAACGTCGCTTGCCCAACTTCCCGATGGTCATTCCCTGACAGGTCAACTAACCCACATTACACAGCGTGATAGTTTAACAATTTATTATTTGCAGTTATATTTTGTTAGTGAATTTTTACGCTGCGTGATGTCGGAGAAATTACCATCAGGAAATTTTATGTAACTCGACCGAGCTTTGAAGAACAATTGCGAGAGTTCTACTGGACCATTATTGAGGATTTTACCATCATTAGAATCGTCTCGA